GCACCCATTGTCGAGTCTGTATGGCTAACTAGTGGCTAGCTCCACACTCTGATCTTCAGGCAAGCTTTATTCATTAGATCACAAACAAAATATCACCACATTTATGGCTGCTTGGCAACAACTCAAGTTTGTCAATATACTCTTCAGAGAAGGGTGAGAATCTGTTGCTCTCATCTGTTGCTTCTGGGTGAATAAACAGGCACAAGCTCTAATGACTAATCAGTGTCAACATGGAAATGCATAATCTCTGTGTTTTTGGATCAAATACAGGGGCTCACGTATGCTAGGCAAGTGCTTCACAATGGAGCTACACAGTGAGCCCTTGGGTTTTTAGACACTAGAATGGGTTGAGGAGATGGCTCAAAGAATAGAGCACTTGCCATTCAAGCATTTAGACCTAGAATGTAGGTTTCGATCCCTAGAACTTATAAAAATTTCTGTATTGACACTAACCATCTTACGATCCATTTACAGTATTTTTTCTATTGCTTAAATTATTCATAGCATTTATTTGGTTCCTTGGGCATAGATGTAAAATGTTATTTAAAGACCTTGTCTAGTAATTCCAGCGTCTAGATCATTTTAAAACTATAATGGTTAATCTTGTTTTGGGGACTGGATTGAGAGATGCTGAGGGGTTTAATTAGACACACTTCCAGTTGAATATATGAGGGTATTTCCAGAGAGGACCAACAGGTGGGGAAGCAACTGAGAGGAAAAGATCCACTCTGAATGTGGGGAGCACCACTCAACAGTCTGGGGAGGCAGATGAAGAAAAGTGGGAGAAAGCTGCTCAGTTCATGCTCACTCCCTTCCCGAGTGCAAATGTCACTACTGCTGTCACTGTGCACAGCTGGCCCTCCTTGACTGAATGCATTGCTCCTGCTGTCACTGTGCACAGCTGGCCCTCCTTGACTGAATGCATCGCTGCTGCTGTCACTGTGCACAGCTGGCCCTCCCTGACTGAATGCATCGCTGCTGCTGTCACTCTGCACAGCTGACCCTCCTTGACTGAATGCATCACTACTGCTGTCACTGTGCACAGCTGACCTCTCCTTGACTGAATGCATCACTACTGCTCTCACCATGCACAGCTGACCTCTCCTTGACTGAATGTCACTACTGCTGTCACTGTGCACAGCTGGCCCTCCTTGACTGAATGCATCACTACTGCCGTCACTGTGCACAGCTGGTCCTCCTTGACTGAATGCATCACTACTGCCGTCACTGTGCACAGCTGACCTCTCCTTGACTGAATGCATCACTACTGCTGTCACTGTGCACAGCTGGTCCTCCTTGACTGAATGCATCACTACTGCTGTCACTGTGCACAGCTGACCTCTCCTCCTTCACTCTTCCCATGCAGGCTCATACCAGTGAGTCTCGAGAAAGCTTCTAGATTTCAACTTTGAACTATGCCCATCATTTCCCACATCACCCCTGTTATGAGGCTCCTGGCTTTTTGGAGAGGGTAACTATTTGACTGAACAACTACTAGGCTCTAAGGTTCCCTAACACATCAAGTTTGAATTAACATCCAATCATACAAGCCAATCAAAAAAAATCCCATATATTTCTTTTTCTCTTTCTTTTGAACCTGTCCCTCTCGGGATCTGGATAATGCAGGTGGCATTTGGGGGGGGGGGTTGTTTCTTGTAAATGTATCACATGTTCCTAATTCTTTATGTATCAAAATGTTTTAGATTTTATCCTGGAAATGGTGGATGTTATTTTGTACATACTTCAAGTTCTATTTTATTCCTCAAGGGAAAAAAAAAACCCAAGCGAACAACTGAGGTGTTTAGACTTGCACTGTGAACTTTGTCTCACATTTTGTGGGTAGCAATTCCCATCTCAGTTCATTTCTAAGATTCAGAGTTTGTCATGTGCATGGTGTTTCAGGGACCAGTCCTTGAGTTCTATGTGGATGTGTCTTTGTAGTTCCCCATCCTCTACAATTCACCAGGTGTGACCGTTTGATGATGCTATGGTGGTCTTCACAGACTGAACAATGGTGACTCCGATTCTATTATGGGTTCAGCCACTCCTCCTCTGCCACCTATAACTGTGGTCCACTCTCAAAGCAAACAATATCCCTTCCCCAAACATGTATTGAAGGGGACATTCAGTCACGCACACCTTTCTTTATGTTCTCACAGTAGCTTTTACAATGCCTGGTGTTTACAGATAGCATCAGGTTGAGAAATGGTTTGTAAAGTTTATATCATCATATAAACTCCTTTTGTTTGACACATAAACATATATTATCCATGCCAAAAACTACATTAATATAATGAAGAGTATATAGCAGTGGTTAGTTTAACTGGGTGATATTTACACATAGGTGTTTTAGAATATATCTATATACTTCATATGTTACATATTTTGAATGTTACTTTTTATCATGCATCGTTTTTAGATGCCTTGGTGGCTATTCTTGATTGTCAACCTGACTACGCAGGGAATTAACTCAGTGACTGGGTACACTTGCAAAGGTTTTTAATTAAATCATATTAAGTGGGAAGACCCACTTTTAATCTGGATCTTTTGAGGTGGGAAGATTCACCTTTAACCATGGCCACATCTTTCTGCTGGCAGTTTGTATAATAGACAGGAAAGAAGGAAGCCTACTCTCTCTGCCTGGCTACTCGTTGGCACGCCCATTTTTCCCACTTCTTTGGGATTCCAGTGTGTACTTAAGACCAACTGAGGCATCTAGACTGACTGTGGACTGAGTGACTACTGCATTTTTGGACCTTCCCTTGGTAGACAGTCATGGTTAGACTAGCTGGACCATAACCTGTAAGTCAGTCAAATAAATCGTGTGTGTGTGTGTGTGTGTGTGTGTGTGTGTGTGTGTGTGTGTGTGAATGGTTCGTAAACATACTAAGAAATTCTCAAACATCTGCTTATCATATATATGTTCACTCTATCCGTTCTGTTCCTCTACAGAACCCTAATACAGATTATTTACAATATGAAAAATGAAACATATCCCTTGATAATGAAACCCTTAGCTCCTCACTTAACATTTTTCTAACATTTTGCCATGAAATAATAATTTATACCAATAAGTAGGAATGAAAATTGATTAAAAAGATAATCTCTTGAATTATAAATAAATACCCATTTAAGTCTCACATTGCTATGTATAATTCAGTAAAGAATATTTAAAATGCGTTCAAGTAAACAGTGCTCTGTAGTATTTAAAATAGAAGAGTACAACTACAGCCTGAGATTTTGGTTCTAAATCTCATTCTGTTTCTTACTCGCTGTGTGGCCCTGAGTAAGTGGCTTCACCTCCCTGAATTTATTTCCTTGCTGTTAAATGAGAAACAGTAGCTACCACTCAGAGTACTGGGTGGGTTAGTTAGTCAGCTATAAGCTACTCAGATACTCTCTATTACTAGTAGGAACACTAACACTTCCTCACGAACTCCAAAGGATTTAATCCATGACCTGCTTACTCAACTACTAATCTTCATCAAAATAAATAGAGGTGCCCCCTCACTTCCAGGAATCATATCTGCAAGGAAATTCAGCATTAAAAGGACACAGCTTTTGTTGATTGTGCCATCTAGTGGTATACATTGTATTCAAGCCTAGGTACCCAGAAAAAAAAAATAAACTGTCACACGGAGTTGAAATGTCAGTAGGCTGGAGCCAACTGGCTGAAGCCACAAAGGCACCGAGGAGCCTTATCACACACCTTTTAAGCATTTCGCTTCCCATCAGCTACGGGATAGTTTTTGTATTTTTAAGCATTCTAGTATGTTAGTGGCATTTACCATACCATATCCCAATATTGTTACAACACTGATTTTATGAATATAGTAAGGAATAAGAATCAATTATGTGGGAGGTATTTAGGATACAATAAAACAGGAGGGTTTTTTGTTTGTTTCTTTCGAGACACAGTTTCTCTGTAGCTTTGGAGCCTGTCCTGGAACTAGCTCTTGTAGACCAGGCTGGGCTCGAAATCACAGAGATCTGCCTGTCTCTGCCTTCCGAATACTGGGATTAAAGGTGTGTGCCACCAACGCCCGGCAAAACCGGAGTATTATGCAAACAGAGCGACATATGTAAATCCTGTGCTAAGTAAGTACAACAACTTACTTACTTGTAAGTAAGAAAACGGGGGGGGGGGGGAAGGCCTCTTTGTATAGAGTTCAGAAAGGACAGAGATAGTATGAAGTCAGACTAGTGACGTTGGCAGGGGCTTACACACGCTCAAGAGTTTGACTACCATCCTAACAGTGAGAAAAGATGGACGGGCTTAAGCAGAAAGGCACCAATTAGACTTGGCACTCTAATTCACATTTTCAAAAGTTCACTTGTGGAAACAATTTAGGCAGGAAATAAAACTGTCTGCCCAGATGAGCCAAGGTGATTTGGACCACACTGTGAAAGTTGAGGCAAGGAAAGAGGAGTCGGAGAAAAAACCAACAGGAGCAGAGGGGCAGGGAAGCGGAAAAACATTTAAGAGGCAAAATGAATGGAGCACTAAATGGGTATGATAATATCATTTCTCATTGAGCACAACTGGCTCGGGCGCTTGCTTTCCTGGAGGAGCTGACTAATAGGACGGAGGACTAGAATTATCTTGAAGAAAGAACTCTGGCCACAAAGTGTGAATGTTCCAGGCAGGACAATCACGAGACTCAGAGCCAAGAGGTGCTCCAAAGGTATTCTTTAGACTTTTATCCCAGCCGCACCGATACCTTTACCAAGCTTAGGTTCCCTCCCACAGCCAATTTTCATTTCGTGGTGAGTTTTCCACGTCCAGTTCAAAATGCATTTTAAAGAAGACCTTCCTCCCAGCAGTCCTTTCGTGTCTCTCCCACTGAATTACACATTTCCGGACAGCACAGACTGAGCGCTCGTCTTCGTGACCAGGGAGTCCAGTGAAAAGCTCTGCAAACAGCATACAACCCACAAACTTAAACAGCCACCTTCCGGAGCGTAGCACCCACAACGCCTCACTCCACCAAGCCCGGCCCGCCGGAAGTGACGCATAGGGAAAGGTGTACTTCCGGTCTGCAAGGCCGTGCTCTAATCCCGGGCCGGCTTCTCTGGCTTGCTGTCTCTGCTGCTCTGGAGGATTTACGCTCGGTAAGGAGCTACGCTGGCGCCACTGGTTGGGGTGTGCGGGCTTCGGGGCCGCCTCTGGCCGGCTGGAGCCGGACTCGTGCGGGAGACGCGAGGACAGATGTTGGGGGACAGTCCGATCGCCCAGCTCGGCTCTTGGGAGCAGGCCCAGGGTGCCCGCGGGACGCGCTGCTGGGGACGGATGGGGAGAACCGCAGCCGCCCGTGGGAGCATTTGTCCAGGGTCACCCTCCTGACCCCCGAGCCTCCCATCCGGCTGTCAGGAGGAGGATCCGCCCTTTTGGTGACAGTCATCCAGGACCTGTGCGCTGTAAAGTGGCGTGCAGCGTCACTCACGGGCCCCCGAAGGCATGCTGCCGTCTGCTGGCGCCAAGACGTTGCACACAGGCTCCCCTGAAAGTGGCAACTCCCGTTCTCTGATTGTGTCTGATGTTCTCATTCACTGAAGAGGGAAAAGAAACGTTCTCAGGATTGCTAGGTAGCATGCAAAGTAAACTATGCAGTTTTATGTTGGAGCCAGATAATTAGGCTCAAAGCAAACTACTTTTAAAACAGGTGTACATCTATACTTGAAATGAAACCTATTTATGACAATAAATATGTTCAAATTAATTTTGAACATATTTATTAAGGGTATTCAAACAAGACTTATTGGTATGAAGTTTGTTTTACAATTTGAATCATTGAAATAGGATAATTGAAAATTACTTAAAACCATTGGACTGCAAATGGCAATCCTCTCATTAGTAAGAGAGAACTATGGTGTGACTGCAAACACTTTATATACTGCCTTGCTTTAGAGATCTATCGGGAAGAGCTATAAAGTCAAACTTAAAGGACAAGCCTTCTGTATGCTTACTAATGTACTTTGCAATTGGTTGAATTGAAATTACAAACTAAGCAAGCAGATTGGGAGAAAGTAGCCTGGGGGCGTTAAAGATAGGAAAAGAAATGGCCAGGAAAATGCCAGGATTTGAGAAGACCACTCCAGAATTTACATGTGATTTCTAATTTAAAAATCACGTTTTGGGCTGGGTGGTGGTGGCGCACACCTTTAATCCCAACACTCGAGAGGCAGAGGCAGGCAGATCTCTTGAAGTTCGAGGCCAGCCTGGTCTACAAGAGCTAGTTCCGGGACAGGCGCCAAAGCTACAGAGAAATCTTGACTCAAAAAAAAGAAAAAAATCACGTTTTGGCAAGTTACTTTCTAGTTTTAAGTAAAGATATATGCCTTTTTCTTCTACTGGAATGGAACTTTCTCTGATCAGGGCCAAAATTATTTTAGAAAAATAACTCTGCGGTGTACTATGTATCAATGCAGATACCCAAATGAGGAGTTTTAATGGTTTAAAGTTTGAAATATGAGTATTTTTGATGATAATGACCTGTCTGTACATCTTCAGCTTTTAATTAATTGAATACTACTTCTTCTTACCTTGCAGATCTGCAAAGTGCCTCTGCCGAAACCATGACCAGATGGGCTAGAGTGAATACCTCAAATAATAGGAGACCCTTGTCTGCGACATCATGGGAGGACATGAGGGAGGGGTCTGCAGGGAGTGCAGACCGGAACCTTCCAAAGCATAAACAACGCCAAATCAGTAGGCTGCCCCTTAAAAATGATTCCCCTCAAGCAAAACATAAAAAGAACAAGAAGAAAAAAGAGTATTTAAATGAAGATGTGAATGGATTCATGGAATACCTGAAACAGAACTCGCAGATGCTTCACAATGGGCAGTTGATAGCCGCAGACAGCCGGGAAGTACGGGAAGAGATTGCAGTGGCCTTAAAGAAAGACAATCGACGGGAAGAAAGACGGTTAAAAAGGCAAGCAGCAAAGAAAAATGCGATGGTGAGATCATTATGTCGTTTATTCCTTTGTGTGACTGGAAACTGTCGTTCATCTACTCACAGGGTACATATTTAAACAGAGCCAGTTGCTGCTGTCCTAGGGCATCTTTGTAAGGCTTGTTCCTTTTAGCCTGTATACACACACACACACACACACACACACACACAATATCCCAGTTAGTTGTTACAGCACTACACAGATGCTTGTATTCCCATATTACAGGCAGAGAACATAGCAGTCTGTCCAGGTTAAGTGACTTGCTGAAAGCCTCTTGGTTAGTGCTAGAGGTGAGATTCGAACTGAATTCACAACCTGTGTTGGTCCTGTCCCTGACTTAGGGTAACACCTTTTCAAATAGCTGTTGAAAGAAACTCCTTGATACCATAAGTTAAAGATGGTTCCCCTTACTTGGAAGGAATGGCTGATCTTCTGCTGTCACCCATAATATTCATTCACAAGGAAGAGTTCAGGTCCCTGTAATGCTTTCTACATGAAAGTTGAGGAATCTTCAAGAAATGTGTTTGACAATGCTAGGTTTCTGAAGACGAGATAGTGGACTCCTCCGGGCTGGTAGACGCCAGGCCCCTTGACTTCACAGCCAGCGCTATGGCTTCCAAGCTCATAGCAATCCTCTGACTGGGAGTGGACCGTGGTTGTGTGCCACCATGCCTAGCCAAGCCATGTCTGTGTGTGTACCTTTGTGCTCACGCACACGTTTCTGTATGGTTGTTGTGTGGGTGACTGGAATTACAGGTGTAGGCCACTATGTCCAGCCAAAAGCCATTTGTGTGCGGTGTACGTGTGTAAGTGAGCAAGTGCATATGTGCTCACATGTGTGTGGAAGCCAGAAGACAATATCAGGTCAATCTCGGGCACCATCCACCTTGATTTTGAGACAAGGTCTTTTTGCTATCTCTCGCTGTCCTGGAACTTTCTAGTTAAACTCTACAGGCTAGCCAGTAGGCCACTTGCCTCTCCTCTTCAGTATTGGGATTCTAAGCGTGCTTTGCCACACATGATGTGGTTTTTGTGGGTTTTTGTTTTGTTTTGTTTTGTTTTTGTTTTTGTTTTTTTCTGAACAGAGTTTCTCTGTGTCACAGCCCTAGCTGTCCTGGAACTAGCTCTTATAGACCAGACTGGCCTCGTATTCACAGAGATCCGCCTACCTCTGCCTCCCAAGTGCTGGGATTAAAGGCATGCGCCACCACTGCACGGCTCACACTTGGCGTTTTCTTCCTTGGTATCTGAGGCTTGAATTTAGGTCGTCACACATGTGTGCAAGCACTTTGCTGACTGAGCCTTTGAGCCATCTCTCCAGCCCTAAGAGACATTTTTGAAAGTACGTTTCATTTACCTTCTACCTTATGTTTGGTTTTTTGTTTGTTTGTTTGTTTTTGTTTTTGTTTTCTTTTTTGAGAAAGTGTCTCTTTGTAGCCTTGGCCTAGATGTGGCTATGTAGACCCACTAGCAGTGAAGTCACAGTTGTCTGCCTACCTCTGCCACCCAAGTACTGGAATTAAAAAGTGTAAAGAGTTCGAGGCTGGCCTGGTTTACTAAGCGAGTTCCAGGACAGCCAGGACTGTTACAAAGAGAAACCCTGTCTCGGGAGAAAAAAAAATGTAAACACTCTACCTGAGTGTAAATCCCTGATTTAATCTGATGATGGTGATGATTGAAAATAGTCCTGACCACAGTTTTTCTCCCTCCACTTCTCCCAGCTCCCTTCACCTCCTCTCTCCCCCAGATCCTCTCCCCCTCCATCTCCCTTCAGAAAAGAGCAGACCTCCAAGAAACAGCAGCCAAAAGACAAGGCAAAGCCCTCATATTGAAGCTGGACAAGACAACCCAATAGGAAAAGAGTCTCAAGAGTGTGTGGAAGAGTCAGACACACCCACTCCCATCATTAGGAGCCCCACAAACACCCAAGCCAGTATCCGTAACACATATGCACACACCTCTGTAGGTCCCATGTTTGCTGTTTCAGTCTCTGTGAGCCCATGTGAGCCCTGATTAGTTGATTCAGTGGGCCATGTTCTCCTGGGGTCCTCCATCCCCTCTGACTCCTCTCTTTCCTCCCCACTCTTCCGCAGGGTTCCCAGCTCTCTGACTTCCAGTTTAGACCCTCTCTGCACGTATCTGATTGTGGGACAAATAAATTATTATTTTATGTGTATGGTATTGCCCACATGCATGTCTGTGAACTACTTGTGTGCCTGGTGGCCTAGGAAGCCAGAGGAGGACATCGGTTCTCCTCGAACTGAAGTTACAGACACTTGTCAACCCCCACCCCCACTCCGCCCTGTGGGTGCTAGAATTGACCCTGAGATCTCTGGAGATCAGCAGTGCTCTTAATGTCTCTCCAGACCTAACTCCATGCTGTTATTGTGCATGGTTGCTTGTAATTTTTTTTGAAAGGAGACATTGGTTTTCATAATACTAATTAAGAGTATTTTGTGTCCACATCACCCATGTAGACAAAAACTTCAATATTATTTATATGATATGTAAACCTTTAAAGTCTTTTCAATTTAAGAAAGTAGTTGCTTTTATTTAAGTGGTTTATTTTTTAAATACAACAATTAAAATTAGGGATGGTGGTTTTTGCAGCCACTCTGCTGCTTTTGGCCGTTTTCCACTTAAGTGTGAGGTCGATTGTTAGAGGCATTGGGGTATTTTTCTTGTTGTTGTTGTTGTTGTGCTTTTTGTTTGTTTTGAGATGGGGGCTCTTTATGTAGCCCTGACTGAACTGGAACTAGCTATGTAGCCCAGGCTAGACTCAGACTTAGGGTGATTTCTTGTCCTTGCCTCCCATGTCCTGGCGTTGCAGACATATGCCACCACACCTGGCCTCCAAATGACTTGAAATGGTTTAGATCTTCCATAGTCTGCAGTTCTCAGAAGAGACTTATTTTTGGAAGTCAGGTAGTCTGGGTGATGTTTTGAATAGCTCTTTAGTGAATGAAATCTCTCTGTGTAACAGCAGCGACTAAGCATGACTGCTGTGTGACTTCCCATGGTTTATCTGTTTGCTCTCTTCATCTTAATACTTCCACCACTTATACCTGTTTTGGATGCTAGTTCTGACCCCCCACGTACTACTGTTTGGAGCTACTGTCAACCACTGTTTCCCGGTTTTCAAATTTCTTTTCCACTGATCACTTTACTGGAGACAGCAAGTCAGAGGAGATCCATTGCTCTTCCTCTTGTGAACTATTGGCTGTGACAGGAGTGCAGTCTGCCACGCCGCCAGGGTCTTCTGGCCTCACCAAACAGGCTGTGACTTCACTTAGCACTTCTCTTCCATCCAGTCCCTCACTCCTGCTGAACAAAACTCGGGCCATTGCTTCATGATACTCAGAAACCTGTTTTTTGAGACAGGGTTTCTCTGTAGCTATGGAGCCTGCCCGGAACTAGCTCTTGTAGACCAGGCTGGCCTTGAACTCACAGAGATCCACCTGCCTCTGCCTCCTGAGTGCTGGGATTAAATGCGTGGGCCACCACTGCCCGGCAACCCCACCATATTTTTATGAACCTTCTGTCTCTAAAGAAGCAGAATCAGGCAGTACCAAGTATGCGGGTTATCATGGCCTCCTTTTTTGAGGCAGTTGACCTGCATAAACCTGTTCGTGTTGGCCATGTCAGAGCCCCCATTTTTAGGAGACTTTCTGTAACAGATTTGGCAGGTGACCTTTTCTTTCGGACAGAGTTTTTCTTTCATGGGGTTTGTCCAACTGTTCTGTTTATGTGAGCAGGCATCTATTCTGATGACTTCCTGACCTCCCCATTCTTATTGGTGACATTAGCCCTGCCCTGGTGAGGCAGAGCAGTGGAATGGTCCTCGGTGCTATCCTTAGCATCATGGGTCTCGGATGCCATCATCTCTTAAATACCCACGCCTTAATGACACTTTGGTGCCCTCCAGCACTGTGAACCTTGGCTCCTGGCCAGCTCCACCCAGCCTTTCAAAGCCACCTGCTTGACCTACCCAGATAGCTTATATCTCGTGATCTGAGTCATAGTGGAGACACTGAACCCGCCATCATTCAGCTCTGTGAAATTTAAAAGTACAAGCGTTAATCTGAGTGAATTTTTTTTTTATAGCCATTGTGTGACTTCTACAAAGGCCCCTCCCCAACATACTCTTTGTTTTCTGGTACAAGCATCATCCATATTTGTTCAGTTCATAGGACTAATTGTGTCTTATGAAACTGTTTATAACCCTGTGTGTGGGACTAATGGATTAGTGGGATTAGTTATGAGAAACACTGTGCTGTAAGGCTTCTGACCATTTGGGGATGTGGAAAGTACTTTCTTCTACAGATAGAAGACTGATGTGTTGTTGTTGTTGTTTTTTAACTTTAAAATGCAAAATTAAGATAGCTTTGATAGAAGAATTAGTAAAGGCAGGAGAGTAGTTTCACCACGTGGAAACTGATTTATTGTTTTCACAGGTATGTTTCCATTGTAGAAGGCCTGGCCATGGAGTCGCCGATTGCCCAGCTGCGCTGGAGAGTCAGGACATGGGCACTGGCATCTGTTACCGCTGCGGGTCCACGGAGCACGAGATGACGAAGTGCAGAGCTAGCGTCGACCCCGCTCTCGGTGGGTACGGGACGGTGGCCATTCAGTAGCCACCTTGGTAAAAAGATATGTTTTCTGTTTACAGTATTTTAAAGTAATGTAAATTGTACAGCTTGTCATTATACACAGTATATTAATGGGAACATTGATTCTTACAGGTGAATTTCCTTTTGCAAAATGTTTTGTCTGTGGAGAAATGGGGCACCTGTCTAGATCCTGCCCCGATAATCCCAAAGGCGTCTATGCTGACGGTGAGTGCCATCGCCCCCGTATGTCTGACACGTGTACATCACTGGGAATTATGATCTAACTGTATCTTTTCTCTAACTAAATTCTTGGGTAGGTGCAACCTTGGGTGCCTTTACCAAGTACTTTTCTGTCCGGGGTTATTTGTGTACTATAGTTTAGCTTATTAATAAATCAGAGCAAAGCTAACGAGTATTTCTCAAACTACTTGCTTCAGCATTATTTGTGAGAATATATTAAATATCTGTTGGTGTTTAAGCCAAACAATAGTGGAGAGATTTTATCTCGGATTAGTAAAAGATTTGAAAAGCTGCATTGCATCCTGTCTCGCTAGCATGCTGTTCTGCTCAAGTGTGGTGCACACTGTTCTGGTTTTGTAGTGATATTTATTTCTGAAGTTCCTCCTTACACAGAGCTGAGCTTCATGGAACCTTTCTGTCTTTGTCTCAGTCGGTGTCTTTAGAGCCTGTAACAAGCCCTGCTGTGTCCGAAGGCCTGCAGGAGGAATTCATTGTTAACACGGTGGCTGGTGCCGTTGGACCCTTGGCGGTTCTGTGTCCTGTCTTGAGGTCTCCCTCCGCGAGGTCCAGTGGAAATGTGTAGCTCTTGGAGTCAGCCTCACTGCCCCTCCCAGGCGCAGGTCTTCCAAGCCGTTGCACTGTCCTTGTGTCAGGGTGTCACCTGTACAGTGGAATTGAGGAAACTAGATTTCCTCGGCTCTAAGATGCCTTCTTTTTCATTTTTATATCTGAAATCAAACTGTATCATAAGATAAGTAAAGTAGTGAATGACATACCTTACAATCAGTCATATGTTGCGGGGTATTTGTTTGTACTGACACTCCAAGACTGCTAATAAAATTAATCTTGAGTCAGAGGGTGGAGTCAGCCACTAGCCGACTGAAATTAACCGTAGAGGTATGGAGGACCCAGGGAGCTGGATAGAGTGGTACACAGGAAGTAGTAGGGAGGGACTTGGAGATTTGGCTGGACCTTTTTGATCTGGGAAGTGTGGAAAGGCGGGGTCGGCTGATCGTTCTCTGCTGCTCTTTGGGTCTGTCAAGTTTTTACCCCAATATCTGTCTCCTGAGTTTTTATTAATATTAGAACAGTTTAAGTAAACTCATCAGTGGTATCTTAGATTTGCTCAGGTATGGCCATTATGTTTTAAAATAAGTGCATTAGTCAAAGGCCTCTTCTGTTTTCACCATGGCATAATGAAGGGTCTCAGGCCTGGAAAGTTGGCTTGGGAGCAAAGATGGCTTTGCATGGTGAGCCAGATTGAGTCATTGTTGCTGGTGTTTTAGAGCGAGAGGAGCTTACCCCATACGTGGGAGACAGGCTTGTGTTCTCTGCGGACATGTTCTGATTTGGCACTTCACACAGACATGGTTCTGAGAAGGCCTGACTGTTATGTGGAAACCCCATGTGGGAACCACATGTTGTAGCTCACCATCCTGGAATGATGCTTAATTAGACAGATGGGGGTGCTTTTTCAGGTTAGCAGGACTGGCAGATGGAAGGCGTGGAAACAGACTTCCCTTAAGTAACGACTACCCCATCTGACCTATCTAGTAACTTTTTGGGGGGGCCACTGCTTGCTGAGAAACTGATAGAAACTGGGCATCCTCCTGGGGCGCAGGATGTGACTGTGTATAAGTTTTGTTTCCTGGCGAAGGCTCTACAGCTTGACTGTCCTGGAGTAACCTCTAGACCTCTGTGTCACACAGCTCTTGGACAGGTGACTTCTACCAAGTTCCTCTTCTCCACTTTTCTCTTGAAGATCAGATACAAAAACAGCCCCTGAGAGTTGGGAGCGGCAAAGGAGTTACTAGCAGGTGTGAGGGTCCCCACCCAGCCTCCTGACTCCAGTTTCCTTTACTGTCATCAGCGATGTGAAGACCTGAAATTGCTCATCGGTGTTATACACACTGTGTCGGGATGATAGAGACTCAATTACTCTGTTCTTCTACTAGGTGGCGGCTGTAAACTCTGTGGCTCTGTGGAACATTTTAAGAAAGATTGCCCTGAAAATCAGAACTCAGGTGAGTTCCTGGGTCTCCGTCTATAAGGGTATTCCTCGCTGTGCTCATCGAGTTCCATTATCAATAACTCAGAGAGACACAGTTGGCTGCAGACAGCTGCTTTTGTACTGGGACGGTGACCTCACCAGTCCCGAGTCCCTGAATTCAGGCCTTCTCTCGGGAAGCGAGCTGCTAAGCTGCAGGACTGTATGTCGAAAAGCATCTCACAGCTTTGGCGTTTGCTCCGAAATGGACTTAGTTGTTCTAGAACTTACTTTGTTACTTAGCAAAAAGTATCGATTCCTAAGATAAAAGTCAAATACAGAATTAATTTTCAGCATTCATAAGCCTGAGTGCCCTCATGTGCTTTGCTTTGTGTGCTCTAAATGATTGTAAAACTGTGAAACTTATTAAAAATGTGTTATCGACGCAGCATCTGCCTAGTGTGTTTTTTCTTCTTGTGAAATATTAGCCTTGATTTTAAAACTTCTAAGTGGTCACTGTTACATGCTGCAGACTTCTAAGAAAGTAGAGGATCACTATTCCCTTAGTGTGCCAGGATCAGAATAGAGATGATCTGTGTGAAAGAAAGCAAAACGGGCTTGGGCAGGTGCTCAGCGGCGTGTGGGCCTGAGTTCAGTCCCCAGAACTAACTGAAAGGCTGGCTGTGGTGGTTGTGTGCTTGTCATCTCAGCACTGGGGAGGCACAGAGAGTGAGTCCTGGGACTTATTCATAGTCATAATTCATCCCTGAGTCTCCCAAGTCTGACTTTCTTGCCCTAATGTTTAAATGCAAACCCAGGAGTTCTTGTTTACAATCCTGTCTGGAAGGAGATCATCTTCATATGGTGTAGGCTGTGAGATTGAAATGATGAAGTGGGATTTGAATTCTCCCTACTGGGAGGGTTGCCACTTCCCAAATGATAACGCTGACAAGCAGATGGTGTATAATTTCACAGGTGGGATCTTGTGCATTTAAAACTAATGCCTCCTAAGTCTTGCTGTTTACGGGCTCTTGGAATTCATTGACTCTTCAGTGATGAACTCTGGGAGAGAATGAAGGAGCTTTCTCATCAGTTTGTGCATTGCAAAATAGCTGCTGCATTTCCCTAATTGGGACGAGAAATTGCCCGCGGTACTTGGAAATCAAGGGTTCTAATCAATTACAGAATTGCTCACTTTCCTGCAGCGATGGGGGCTTCTCTCCTTGTGATTATGCCTGTCAAAACTAGTTCCTTTGCTCAACTGATACCACTCTAATGGAAGCTTTTGATTACTCTTGTGTTTATATCTTCTGCAGATCGGATGGTCACAGTTGGTCGATGGGCAGCAGGAATGAGTGCCGACTATGAAGAAGTCCTAGACACACCCAAACCGCAGAAACCAAAGACTAAAGCACCCAGAGTTGTTCATTTTTAATAAGAATTGGTACTGCTGGTGACTACCACCTCACTGTTACTTTCCACAGTAGGCCTTTACAGCTCAGAGCTGGCTTCCCATGGAGGTGAGCTTGTGTTAGAGACACCACCCTGACCTAGGTGAAGTCAAGGTACCTGTATTCTGTCCCTTAGGGAGTACAGGGTGTGTGTGTGTGCGTGTGTGTGTGTGTGTGTGTGTGTGTGTGTGTGTGTGTGTTTGAAGCAGACTGTATGTAGCCCAGGTTGGCTTCAAACTAGTAATCCTGCCTCAGCCCTTGAGTGCTGAGATTACAGGCATCTGCCTAGGAATGTAATTCAACAGGCAGAGCTTGGACATAAGGAAGCGCCTATGCACTTGGCTAACTCTGTCTCTGCATCAAAATTGACCAGTCCTAAACAAAACACACAGCTTCAAGTTTGTGAATAAGTAAAATTTTGTTATTTTTTTCAGAGTATCAGTTTATTATAATAGAAATTTATTTATATATTGTCATAAAATCTGGAATTTTTAGTACCAAATAAATTTTATCATCTGTTTGTCTGTGTTGAACTGGCCTTTGTTTGCTCTCGCTCTAGAGACCCTTTGCAAACAAGATTGTTTGTAAGACCTAATAGAGATAAGCAGGGGTCTGTGTAGTTTTGCTTTAGTTTTGGCTCAAAGAATTAGAAATTAAAATAACAGAGTACCCCAGATTCACAGCTCTGCTTTGCCTTCAGTTTTTCAAGAGGGGAATTCTACCCAAAAAGTCAGTGTGTGACGGCGCCGCTCGTGGATCAGACTTCCCGGTGCTGTAGATGCGCCAGGGTGTGATGGGAGCATCGCCGTAGTAGAGTAGGAACACTAATCAGAGACCCATTAGCTTCTTTGTCTGATTTGATGAGTACATGCATATTTAATACACGTATTCCACAAGCCCTGCCACGGCCATTGTGCCGTATAATGGAACGACTGGTGGTTTGTGAGTTTCATTTGAAATTTTACCTGATTGAAGCCGTTTGTAACTAAAGGAAGCAGCTGTGATTAGTTACTGATGCCTCCAAAGCTAAATATTTACCAAATAAGAAAAGAAACATTTTCTGTTTTCATGTCTGCACAGCTTAGCAGTTCAAGCCTTAATAGGAGCTGTCCTTTTATTTTCGGTGAGGGAAGGACTGAGATGACAAAACAGGGCTCAGCTCCCAGAGCTGCAGGAGAGGAGTGTGCTTGGTATGAACGGCAAGCCAGGCTGAACCCTGCCGGAGTGGGTGGTAGGAGGGGGTGATAGTGAACGCTGCTGAGGAGGGGGGCGGGGAGTGAACGCTACTGAAGTGGGGGGGTGATAGTGAATGCTGCTGAAGGGGGGGGTGATAGTGAACGCTGCTGAAGGGGGGGTGATAGTGAACACTGCTGAAGGGGGGTGATAGTGAACGCTGCTGAAGGGGGGTGATAGTGAACACTGCTGAAGGGGGTATAGCCAATGCTGCTGGGGGGCAGGAGCGGCCGATAGTGAAAGCTGCTGAGTGCAGACTCCTCCCTGCTCGCAGGAGCGGAGGATAGCGTGTTCTTTCTGAGCAGTCCTCACTGCTGCAGTGCTGGTGGCCAGTTTGCTTCCTTAGATCTCCTGCCTTCCATCAGTGTTTTACTCTGTCAGGGGTGAAGGCAGTCCAGAGAAACTGCAGGTGCTGAAAGCAACGTTTCACAAGTGCACAGGAGCTGCAAGTCCTGTCCTAGAGGCAGGAACGCTAGGAGACCAGGGTGATTGGACAGTTCCTGAGCTGGGAATGCTAGACAAGGTTGGCATTGATTTTGTCTGCCCAGTATGTGAGCTCTGTTTGTTCCCAGGCACTGGGGTGATGGCAGTGGATAAATATGGCCTTGTGCATTACAGTCAGAGGGACTGAAGAGTGAAGCTGAATTAGAGGAACTGCCATGCCTGACTTACAGGGCAGCAATGTGTTATATGTGCATATATTATGGCAATATATTTGTGTGTGTGTGTGTGTGTGTGTGTGTGTGTGTGTGTATTTTTGTTGTGCTTTGTTTGGTTTTTTGACAAGGGGTTTCTCTGTGTAACAACTCTGGCTGTCCTGGAACTCGCTGACCTCGAATTCACAGAGATCTGCCTCTGCATCCCAAGTGATGGGATTAAAGGCATGGGCCACCACTGCCCAGCTATTTGTGTATATATTATGACATCTAGTTTAGTGTTTTTGTGGAATTCGTGAGCGTGTGAACAAGTAGGTCTCTGCGTTTATATCTGTGTCTTGTGCCTTTTCTTGGACTCTTTTCCTCCTGGTTTTTTTTTTCTTTGTCCTATTTCAATGTGATTTTTTTATCTTATTATGTGAGGAAAAATATTCAATAAAAGGAAAAATGAAGAAAAAATTTAAAAGTATTATAGATGAGACATGTCAGCTACAAAAGAAGAAACTTTCAGTACCTCGTAGTAACAGTGAAAGCCAGGAGACAGCGTACGACATCTGTAATGTGGGAAGTAAAACCTTCATTTGGGAACCCTGTGTCTACTGAAATTATATGTAACCAAGAACAAATGAAATAGAGCACATCACCAAAAGCTCTTCATTAAAAATCCTCAGTGTTTCCTTTGAGTGGAAGTGAGAATGTATGAGGAAGTGAGTGCAAATCCATGCAAAAAGAGGGCTAAGAGCCCACCCTGGGTGCTGGCATGAGGAGACCCAGCTTCTGAAAGCTACCTTCTACTTCACCTGCTCACCATAGCACGTATGCCTCCCCCCACACACACAAGTAATACATGGAACCAAATTCATAAGAGAAACCATATTGGCATGAGAGTGCATACCTTGGAATGGTTACTGCTAAGAGTAGAGCTAAGGATAGCATGGATGTCTGCTTTACCCTGAGGGACGTGTAGCAGTCGCTCTTGGGGCTCATGGTGACCTGGAGCTGCCTCTGGGAGACTCCATCCTGGCAGGCAAGGTGTGGTGGTCAGAGCGTGAGGCAGGATTTGCAGTTAGGAAGCAGAAAGTCTAAGCAGTGGGGCTGAGCTGAGAAACTTTAAGGCGCACCCCCAGTGACCCACTTCCTCCAGCTGTGCCCCACCCAGAGCCCTCCCTAGCTAGGAACTAAGTGTTCAGACGACGTGAGCCTAGAGGTACCGTTCACATTAGGACCACAACAGTGTATAAACAGGAGTGTTCCAGTGAGCGGACTGTTTTTGTGAAGACGAGGTGCAGAACACTTGAAACTTCCAGGCTTTAGCAGCAGAATGAGGAAGCTGGGGGAGGTTATTCTAACAGACAATCCACTGGAAATTAGAATGTGCACACATACTGGGGATCCAGCAAAGAACAAAATAGAAATCCTGGCTTTAGTAAACTTTATATTTTGATTGGGGATGACAGGAAAACAAAACTGGCTAAAAGTGTGTAAATTAGACATTGGTAACCACTAAACAGGAAGCCTAGACATGGCATGGGGGTCCTAAAAGGTGAGGAAGGAACATTTTACATGATCTTGATACAAAGGTCAGAGAGAAGGAGGCAGCAAGCCTGGGGTCTCCGCAGGGGTAAGAGTAGACCTTGTGTGTGCCGCGGTAGGAGTAGGACTGAGCCTGATTGCTGGTCATCAGCAAGGAGGTCAGCGTGTCTGGAAAAGGAGGGGTGAACTAGCTGGGGAAGGCCAGGTGAGAGAACAATAGTTCTCCAGTCAATTATTGGTATTAGCCCTTCTCCAACAAGCCAATCATAATGGTCAAGGAACAACCCGTCTTGTTTCTATGGGGCCTTCTCCTTTAAAAGTAGACTGTACCAGCTAGTCGGGGTCTCTCAGCTTCCCGAATGCTTGGGGACCCTGTCATGACAGAATTAATAAAATCCTCATGCTTTTGCATCGGCTGTGGTATATGAGATGGTCTCTGGGGGTGACTCCTTCTTGGTTTGGACACTAGAGTCCAACATTATCACCATAGAAAAGAGAATGAGAGGAAAGAACAAGAAAGAAAAAAAAAGAAGATATCAACCAACTTAACGCAGAGTAGGACATGCAGAAAGAAAATATGGTCCCAAGGCAAGACATAGAAGAAGAGAAACAGGTTAAAAGAGCTAGCAAGAAACAAGCCTAAGATAAGGCCAAGCATTCATAATAAGTCTCTGTGTCATGACTTGGTTGCTGGGTGGTGGCCTGAAAGAGAAACTGCTCCAGGGTGTTTTAGAGAAGTTGACTTTGAAATGACAGTGTCTTAGTGAAAATTTAGGTATGTAGTTAGCTGTTAGGGTCGGTACAGGCTAAGACAAGATGCAGAAGTGGGAGTTACTGATGGACAGACAGCATCAGAAACCCAGAGATGGGTTGATTGACAGGAGTAGAGATCTATGACAGTGCCGACAATCCCCTTATATTACAAGGTCTGGTGGAGGGGAAGAGTTTAAGAGAGACCTTTGAGACTGTGGCTAGTGCGTATGAGAGTAGGAGGAAGTGGGGAGACGCTTTAGAAGGCAAAAGAAATTGCTCTTGGCTGATGGTGCAGAGATTCCAGCCCTCATGATGAGAAGGAAGCAGAAGGCAAGGATGGGAGCGTGAGAAGACAACTGCTTTACACCATGTAAAGTTCCTGCTGTAGGTGGTGCAGGAGGCAGACCCTGGAGGCGGTGCGCATTAGGGAACATGCCGAGGGTGTTGTCAAAGTCTGAGTGCCTTTGGTGTCGGTGATGAGAACTCTGAAGTGAGACGGGTCTCCAGTTCCCAGCTGCTCACGCTGGAGGTGAACAATCTGGACAGTTCTACCGTGGTTGGGTTTTGTTAGAGAAGCTGAGTGAAGAGAGATACAGATTTCCAGTGCATGGAATTTCCAGTGATCCATGGAATACAAGGATCAGCCAGCAAATCTAACAGGGCGGGGAGAGGACAGGGCAGGAGGGATGTGTTCCTAAACAGTGTCAGTCTTAAATGTTTCTAAAAGGTCACAAAACAGGAACAGAAAGATGGCCCTAGGGTAAATCCATGGATTTTTATACAGTGCTTAATCTTCACAGGTATAAAATGAGAAAGGACGTTGTAATCTAAGATTTCTGATTTGTGAGAAGGGAGCTGAGTTAGCACCAGAAATTGCTAAGAGCCGGATTCTGAATAAGCTTTACAATAAATTGGCAGAAGGCATGAGACTCTTTGTTCAGGCACAGAGGCCCATCGTGCATGAGACACAGCCAGTGGCAGGCACAGGAGTGCGTTTGTGTTACTTTCTTTGGCTCCTCAAGTCTAACAAGAATGACAGGGTGTGCTGAAGTGGACGCTTCAGACATCAGATGTGGGGGTGGGGGTGGGGGCTTGCTAAGAGAGTGGCTGAGACCTAGAACAGACCTAGAACCTGGAGACAGCTGAGAGACTCTGGACCTAGAAGTTTCTGGACAAGTAGCAAGCACTGTTGCCAGTGGCCAAAGAGCGTCCCAGAGTGGTCCCCCCAACTGACCTCTGCCTGTGAGCTGGCTGTTGACCTGAAGCCAGCGGTGGTCATCTTGACTTGTGACTCAGAATCAGGATATCAGTCTCCAAGTCTGATACACTCAGCGAGAGCCAGCAA